GCTCAGTTATTCTAATTTTCTCTTTGCCTCAAGAGCAATTCTACTCAAAGAAAGGTTATACCTTCAGCCTTGGGCCTGAGATACTGCAGAAATAGGAATTTCAACTAAACTGAGATTGACATGTATGTAAAAAGTAAACATGTAAGTCATTGAAGTTTTGTCGCTGTCATCACAGCAAAATAATCTAAATTGACATATACGGATGTCTAATATCACTGTTATTTAACATCGTTCTAGAAGTAATGAACATTGAAATTAGATGAGATGAAGAGAGAAATGTGGAGATAATTTTTCATTATGTACAAAAAATATGTCTGCAAATTAACCAAAAAAAAAAAAAAAAAAACCAAAAACCCAGTAAAAATGGAAATACTTTAGGAACAATTAAGGAATTAAAAAATGTGGCTTGGTAAAAACTTAGAAATTTTTGAGAAACCATGAGATATTTTGTTTCTCTTATTCTACTAGCTATTTACATGTTTGCAATATAAGGGAAGAGTGGTAAGAAGCCTTCAGACATAACAGGTTGTGAGATTTTCTTTCTCATGGGAATAAAATGAATAGCAATTTTTACACTTGTACACATTTTTACATGATCTATGGGCAAGTTTTCTAGGATTTTATATTTGCTTCACATATGCCTGAAAAGCTTCAGTTGAAATAAAGTCTCCAACTGTCCAATATTTTGCTTATCGATATTTACTGTTGCCAATAAAGAATAGAGATGAACTTGTCTATTGAACCATGTCAAATAAAATGATATAAGATTGGATCTCAAAACTGCCAATCATCTTTGCTCCAACTGAGATAAATCAGCCATAATGTTACAGGTAAAAATCTTCCATGCCACTACTGCCCCAAAGTGGGAAGCACAAAACTGTTTGGAGAGATGAAGGAAATAAAAGAGGAAGGAAAAAATGTATTGTCTTCAGTTTGAAATCACAAAAGCAGAATGATAAATACAGCATATGAAATAACTGCTCCTTAAATTGTTTAGGAAAAAAACATTATGCAGGCAGAACACCACAATAATTAGTGTATTGTTACATTTTTTGAGAACCTGAAAATTCTTCTATTTTAAAAAGATTGACTTAAACAAATAATAAAGATCTGGGAAAAGAAAAGGAGTTCTGATCATCTTGGCAAGCATTTATTAAAAAATATTATCATGGCAAGATAAAAAAAGTATTAAAAAACTGCAATGATGAAGTATTTAGAATAAATCAAGGATAGACAGAGATCTAGTAAATGAAATCAAACCCTACTCTAGACCACAAATACATATGAAAGTTTAGCAAATAAAAATATAGCATTTAGCATTTCAGAAGAGTAGAGAAAGAAATTCAATAAATAGCCTATGGGAATCTATTTTTTATTTAAAAAAAAAAGCTTTATCCCAATTCTCCTTAATATGAAAAAAATGTTTTCAAAGTGGATCAAGAATTTAAATACACAATAATAGAATGAAGTTATGATATTACTTATGGTAAATGAAATTAAAAGTTTTCAAAAATGATGTTAGAACACCTTAGGAAATGTAATACAAAACTGGAAAGACATAAAGAAAATATTTCATAAATTGGCTATAAAGAAATTAATTTATAGCAGGAAATATCAATGTAAGGTCAACATTAGAATATAGTACAGTTAATGTCTTACAATTTAGGTACTCTTACAAATTAATAATAAATCCATGAACATTATAAACTAACACATAAATATATGATGGAATGATGAAACTAAAGGTGATAAAAGCAAAGAACCCAACATAATGAAATATAACATGCCAATAAAAATATGAAAGGGTGTTTAAAGAGTTTGAATGACTTGAGTTGATTATATGTTTTGGTGAAATGCTGTCATAACTACTGGTATGAGTATATATATATACACTGAGGAGAGCTTCACAGCTCACAAGAGTTCCTCTTTTCTATTAACTTTGACCAGTTTGATGACTGTGTGTCTTGGCAATTACTTCTTTGCAATGAATCTCCCAGGTCTGCCTTGAGCTTCTTATACCAGAATGTCTAAATCTCTAGCAAGATTAGGGATGTTTTTCTCAATTATTCCTTACATCCCTTGTGTATTTTTTTCTTCATCCTCAGAGGTGCTTATGATTCCTATATTTAGCCACTTTACATAATCCTTCATTTTTTGTAGGCTTTGTTCATTTCTCTTTATTCTTTGCTCTTAATTTTTGATGGACTGAGTTAATTCAAAAGGGTTGTGATCAAGCTCTGAGATTCTTTCTTCTGCTTGGTCCAGTCTATTCGTGAAACTTTCCACTGTGTTTTGTATTTCCTTAAATAAATATTTCATTTACAGAAGTTCTATTTTTTTTTAATATGTTGATCTCTTTGGTAAATTTTTTATACATTTCCTGAATTGCTTTTCTAGTTTCTTTGAGTTTGTTTTCTGTTTTATCTTGGATTTTATTGAGCTTCCTTACAATCCATATTTGGAATTCTCTACCTGTCATTTCAATATTTACATTTCGGTTGGTATCCATTACTAGAGAGCTGGTGTTCTCCTTCAGGGGTATCCTTTCACTCTCAATTTCCATACTTTCAGAGTTCTTTTGCTGATTTATTCTCATCTTACATAACTGTCATTTTCTATTTTTGGATTCTCTTTTGTTTCGATTTTTTTTTCTTTCACCCTCACTTGTAAGGGACTGTCTGTAGTATATGTTTTTTTTTCTTTCACCCTCACTTGTAAGGGACTGTCTGTAGTATATGTTGTGTAAGAACTTTTCTGGTTGAATGCCTTAGTTATAGATATCCTTAGTGTGGTGGTTTTCTCAGATGCTGGTTGTTTATAGGCTGTAGCAGCCGTGAGCTATGTGTGTGGGCAGATTCCCTGTCTCTCCTTGCTGGGGAGGAAGGAGGTCTTTTCAGTTCTTTCTTTTTCCCCATTCCTGTGGTCTTCTCAACATGAATTGCATTGAGAAACCCAGTTTAATCTCTGAGACAATTGGTGGTGGTTGTAAGAATCAACCATACCCTGTATGAATGAGCCAGTAAATGTTTTAAAGGGCCGTGTGCAAATCTCGACATTCTTCTCAGTAGGTGGTGCTTGCCAGAAGAAACAAGCTGCAGGGTTTTTTTTTGTCTTTTTTTTAGAAATGTGACCAGAATAGCCCTGTGGGCAGGTGCTGGAACTTTCAGGTGAGTCCTTATTCTCCCCTACAGCCCATGCGGGTAGGGGAATGAAGCTGGGCAAGGCTGGGTTGAGTGAGCCTGCCCTCAGGCTGCACAAACAATGGTAAAGTAGCTATTTTGGCGAGGGTCAAATGTCTGCTCCCCACTTTCTGGGGGAAGCCTCCAGGGAGGGGCTGCGGTGGCCCCACCCAGCCAGAAAGTCTGCTTGTGAATGAGGGGCCATCTAAGATTCAGTCTGTCTGCCAGGAGCTGGTTTCACTGTTCTCCCCTCTCCCCTGCTCTGCAGTCTCCCTCTGGCATCTGCCAGCAGGCAGAGGCTCAAACTATCTGGGCTCCACAGCCATGGCACTGCAGACTGGAAGTTTCCCTGCCCAGGATCCCACCCTGGGCTGAGAACATGGCTTTCCTGTGGGGGGAGGGGTGCTCCACCGGTGGCTGTGGCTGGGACCCACACCGAACTCTCTTTTCAGTTCTGTCCATGCCAGCTCCCTTGCCTCCCAAGAATAGTTCACAAATGTCCCCTCCATGTCACCCAGCAACACTATTGATCCCAGGGGCTATGGGATGTGGCCTGGGGGCCCGTCCCCAGGTTCCTGAAGATCAATCCTGACTGTGCCAGGGAGAAGCCTGCTGGTCCCAAGTTGCCTATGGGGTGCTCCAGCGGGTTTGATGTCCCTCCACTTTGAGATGTGCCTGCCCTGATGGAGCAGCCAGGCAAGCAGCACTCAGGAGGGCTGGTGAGCAGGGAGCTCACAGTTCGAGTACCCCTTAGTCCTCTGCAGCTCTTTAACCACTTTGGGACCAGCATCAAGTATAGTCGACAGCCACAGATGAACACGCACAGTGACTTTAGCTGACAGCCCTGATATGACTTTTCTAATTTTTCATTTATCAAAATAAAATTGTGAACATTTAAAAATAACTAATGAAAACATGTATGTATATGTTACCTATTCTGATTTACATGACAGTAAAGCTGCTATAAAGTAAAACAAGGCGCGCGCGCTCACGCCTGTAATCCTAGCACTCTGGGAGGCCAAGGCGGGCGGATTGCTTGAGGTCAGGAGTTCGAAACCAGCCTGAGCAAGAGCGAGACCCTCTTACTAATAAATAGAGAAATAATTGGCCAGTAAACATACAGAAAAATTAGCCGGCATGTGGTGCATGCCTGTAGTCCCAGCTACTCGGAGGCTGAGGCAGGAGGATTGCTTGACCAGGAGTTTGAGGTTGCTGTGAGCTAGGCTGACGCCATGGCACTCACTCTAGCCTGGGCAACAGAGTGAGACTCTGTCTCAAAAAAAAAAAAAAAAGTAAAACAAGCTTTCAGGGCTTTCAAGCTTTCCTCATCACACAAGAGCAAAACAGACTCGTGGTCAGTGCACAGCGCAGACCCCGTGAGGACTGTGATTGCCGCTGTGGGCCAGGCGTTGCGGCTCGTGAGCACCGTTGGAAGTGGTTAAGAGGGAAAGTTTGAGGCCCAGTCTCTGTGGAACCTCCACCAGAGGGAAGCAGCAGCTCTCGGGAGCCCTGGCTCCAGCATCTCTCTCCGTAGCTGCGGGAGAGGAGGGGAAGGAGAGGAAAAGAGTCTGAACGGAGGAAAGCTAGCACTCTAGCTGTCTCTGAACCTCTCCAGAAGGCAGCTTGCCCAGAATATCCACGCTCTGGGGTCACGCAGATGCCCTGGGACCCGCTGGCCGCCTGTGGCTCCTGCAGTCTGGGCCAGATTTGGGAAATGGCTGTGTGGGAATGAGCAAGATGAAAACTGAAGGATCGAAGCCCCCTGGGAAGGAGGAAGGCACAAAGTGGGTGCAGAAGCAACATGGCGCCTGCCATCTCAGCTCTGGTCTGTGGCACCACGAAGCGCCCCAAAGGGGCTGGCGGCCTGGTTCTCTCTTCAGAAAGCTCCCAGTTCACTGGTGGCAGCATATTTTGGGCTTATGAGGGTAGAAAGGCTCTCTTTCAGCTCATGAGTCTGCTGACTGTCAGAGATGTGAGGGAGGGAGAACTAAAATGCTCCTCCTACCCTGTTTCTGAACTTCTAGCCTCTAGGGTGTTGTTAACTTCTACCAATATCTTGCTCCTTCTTGTTCTGCTCTGCGACTTCTCAGAATCTATTGTAGGTTCTCACAATTTTCCCTCTGAATTATACCTGATCTATGATTATTTGTTCATTTTTTTCTTTTTCATATAAAACTTTCCCTTCTTTCTGAGAAGATCTGGTAGCTGGCATTTCTGGTCAGCCGTCTTCGAGTTACTCATTTTTTACACTAAAATAAATCAAAATAAATAATATGCAAAAAAAAAAAAAAAAGTAAGGCAAAATCATTTAAAAAGTTTCCCTTAAACTCCTGATATAGTTCAATAAATAATCTTGTGTTTTTAGTGCAATCTCTATAACTTGATTTTATTATCTGTAAGCTGACGGTAACACTAGGAAGATCTACTTCATATAATTTTGAATTAGCCAACTGAAGCAATGCATACATCATACCACATCCATATCATGCTTTACAAAGCATGAAGTCAGGATAATGAGGTGTTTCAGAGCATGAGCTTGGAGGTCAAACCTGTCTAGGTTCACTGCTAGCCCTGCCATTTAATAATTGTATTACAATGAACACACTATTCAACTTCTCTAAGTTTCAGATTCATCATGTGTAAAAAATAGGTAATAATGCTTACCTTCAAAGATGTTTGTGCAGATTAAGTAAGACAATGTTGATAAAGCCCTTGGCACAGAGTGCAGAGAGGTTGGCAAAAGGTAATAGCTCAAAGGAGTCACTGTGCTTATGTTGTCATTGTTATAAAAGCATTATAAATGCAAGTTGTTTCTCCAAGGATTTTTTTAAGTTCCTATTTCCAAGTTAAAGAACATACTCTTCAACCTACGAATAAAAAGACAATTTAAGTTGAATATGCTTTTGCTTGAATACAAAACACAAAATCGGTGGGTTGCCAGAATTGGATGACTTCTGGCTGCATTTAGGCATTCAAGCAGTGCGTTGTGCAGCAACCCACATGTTCAGCATCCCCCTTAGGCAAAAAGAATAAGCAGCATAGTCTGCTGATCCTAGAAATTATGATCAGTGGCCTGGCATCAAAGCAATTTCTGTAGTCTGTTTTTTGTCTAAATTTGACATGGCAAGGGTCCTAAATAACAAAACAAGACAATTGACTAAGTGGCTGGCTAAATCACTTGGGAATTTTGGGGGGTTGTAGTGAACTGACACATCCTCAGATAATTTTAGTTTTTAGAGTTTCTGTGAAGGTATACAGGAAAGTGAAAGATCAGAAAATTTTCTCACTTTAAGCAGTTTTAATCACTACTTAGCCACACATAAAACATACTGGTGTTTTTCAAGTACTTGAAGGTTGTTGGGAAAAAAAACAACTGTCTCTCTAGAAAGCCTTCATATCAGATGATGAAGGTCAATAGTTGTCTCCCTTAGCATTCCACAATTAAGGTGACTCAGCCCCTAGTCGCTTCAAAGTTCTCTTTACACCTGTATTTATTTCTTGCATTCTGATGAGTCATGGCTTCAGCTAATTTTCCTCTCTCCACTACTACGTCATTGTATCATCTACTTTGTTCCCTGTGTGGTCGAGATTTAAACTCCTTTATGATCTGATTTTATTTATTTATTTTGATAGTCACTCTCCAGTATAGAGTGCTTTTATAATCAAATCTATATGAGAAAATGATTATGCTACCTCCTCACTATAGATCAGCTGCTGTGAATGCCACTGTCACTCTTTGTTCACTCAGCTGTGGGTAGAGTGGCAGAGTTTCACGCTACAAAGAACAGCAATTTAAGAATAAAGAATAACTGCAATACAGTTAGCAAGCAATGTTCTTGACCTTTAACGTTCAAGTACCTTTTTAAAAATAGAACAAAACATGACAATTTATTTATGGTTGCTTAGATTCATGTCTAAACATATGCTCATTACAGAGCTAAAAACTTATGTACATTTTTAGTCATAGAAACTCTCATATATGTGTTAGGGCACATCAAATATTACTTATAATCACAAAATATCAATTATTTAAATTTTTAAAGAAAGTAAATGTAAAGTTAAGGCATTGTTTTTATAGCGAATTAATGAGTACACTTTGGGACCACCTTATTTTCTTAAAGTAACAATTAGTTTTATTGTATGATTTTTAAAAATCAATCATCTATTTCAAAACCTTATTTCCCTTAAAGAAGGTTTAATAAGTCAGATTCATGAATAATATCCAATTGTGAGAATCATGGCATTATCAGAAAATTAGTCAAGAAAGAATATTTTCAATTTTGACATTTAAAGAGTAAGTAAATGGTCTTATTCAATTTACATTATACTAAAATTTACTTCTCATTATCTACATCAAACTGCCTGTGGATTAGATTCCTGGTCTTAGATCCTACCAAAGAAATATTTCCTTCATATATTTTTTAATATTTTATATAAAAATTTTGTGGCATAATTCACATATTGTCATCCATTTCATTCTAGACCCAAAATTAAATATTTTCATACCTATGCAACCTTATTTGCAGTGGATATTTTTGCCTAAATTTAAATAAAAAATATAAATACATAAAGTTGTAACATTTAGTATAGTCTTTTCTTCTATTCAAACAAACAACAACAAATGTTTTATTTTTTAATAATTAGACACACATAGAATCTAGATTGTCTGATTTAAATTCATTGGCTATAGGGAGATCTGACAATTGGTGTCTTGAAATTGCTCCCTAATTATTTCTGGCATGCACCATTGGTCAATAAACAGTCACTATAGTCTCAAAAGCCTGATTCATATAGTTAAAAAAATGGATAAATTCTACTTCAAATTAAAAATATCTTTTTTTTAAAAAAGATAAGATTGTAAGATAATAAAACATCAAGCCTTAGTCTTAAAGAAAATATTTGCAAAGGATATATCTGACAAAGAGCTTTTATCCAGAATGTAAAAAACACTGTGAAAACACAAAAATAGGGAAAAAAAACCCAAACCTGATTGAAAAAAAGACAAAAACATAGACATTTCACCAATGAGGACATATTAATGATGTATTAGTTATCTGTTGTTGTGTAGCTATGTTAACACGAATCTGGCAGGTTAAGCAACACACCTTTAGTATCTGACGACCCCCGCAGGTCAGGAACCCAGGCGTTGCCTCAGGTGGACCTTCTGCTTCAGAGTCTCTCCCTAAGCTGTCGTCAAGGTGTTGTATGGAGCTGGGGTCTCTTTTAAGGCTCAACTAAGAAAATATCCACACTCAGTAAAACAATGAAAGAACTATTGATTAGCACAGCAGGGATGAATGATAAAATAATTATACTAAGTCAAAGAAGTCAGACAAACAAGAGAGTACATACAGTATGATTCCATTTATATAAAATTATAGCAAAGACAAATATGTAGCGACATAAAGCAGAAGAGTGATTGCCTGGGGAGGTGCGGGGGAAAGGTTAGAGGAAGGGATTACGAAAGGGGTGAGGGCGTGTTTAGGGTAACGGGCGTGTTCATTTTCTTGAGTGTGGAGCGCACCTTTGTGGAAACTTACACACTTTAAATGTGTGTAGTTTACTCTCTCCCATTCTGCAGAAAACACGTCTTGACTCCAATTTCTTTTTTGTGCCTAATTCCACTTTTGGGAAAAATGCCATTTAAAAGTTTATCTCCACTCACTTGCTGTTTCTATGTCCTTTTTTCCCCGACACCCCTTTTAGCCAATTTCCACATTCTCTTATGCCTTTCCATCAAAACACTATTCAGCATGACACCCATAGATTAAATACAAGAATCCATTCTCAGTCTCATCCTACTTGACTTAACAGGAATTAATGCAGTTGATGATGCCCTTTTTCCAAAGGCAGATTTCCCCTTTGACTTTATCACACCATAAGCAACTGATTTTCTTCACAATTCTCTCCATTTTTTCACAGCCTCATGTTTTAACTAGTTCTTATTCCCAGATCTTTAAAACCTGGAAAGTCCCAGCGCTCATCACATGTCTTTACTCACTTCCTTGATATCATGGCTTATAAACTGATGCCTTCAATCTAGATCTTTCTGCTGGACTTCAGGCTTTGATATGCAACTCCCCAGTGGACATCTCAAACTTAATTATCTACAAACGGATCTCCTACTTTCCTCCATAGCCCTAAGTTTACTAATTCACACTCTTTCCCATCTCAAGACATGAAAATTTACAGTTGGCCTGATTGTTACTCAGACCAACAGTCCCTAGCGTCTTTCCTAACTTCCCTCCTTTTCTCATTCCTCCAGCCTCCCCGGCACCTGCACCAGCTCTAGCTTCAGGTGTACCTAGGATCCGATCAGCTTCTTCATGCTCCTTGTGAACACCAAAAATCATTTTTTTCTTGGAATATTACAAAAATTCCCTAACTTTTTTTAACAATCTTTTACTTTATCCCCCTATAATTTATTCTCTACTGAGAAATATTTTAAATACAACTCAGATTTTTAAAAATCATTTTTCAAATCCTCTGATGACTTTTTGTAGTAAATCTCAGAGAGTAAATGCCAATCCACCTCACAATAGCCTCCTACCCTTCACATCCTGGGCGGCCCGCGTTACCTTTCTCACGCCCTCTCCCTCGTCCCATAACCCCATGGGAAATTCTGTCTTAGCTTTTGCACCTGCTGTTCTTCCTCCTTTGGGATCCCTTATCAACTGGATTTTTTTTTCGTGCTATCTCATTAAATTCAGATTTTTCTTAAGTGTCCCTTTGCAAGTGAGGCAGCCGCTGATGTTTTTACTTAAAGTGACATCTCCTCCTGGCAATTGCATATCAACTCCTAAATTTTATTTTTCTTTATAGTGTTTTTCAATACTTGACATAACACAGAACTTTTCCATTCATTTGTACATCCCTAGTTTATCTTCTACCACTGAGAATTCAGTTGAATTTCCATTGCCCAGAACAGTGCCTTGCATATATACAAGTCACTCAATGAATATTTTTTAAAAAGAAATGAAACTTTAATCTAGCAACTACAGGTTCAGACACTGGCAGGTGATTAAAAGAGATATTTTATTAGGAAAATCATATAAGATTCCTGATACCCTGAATGAGCTATGTTGATAATTTAAAATTTTGAGCATATTTTTTGTCTTTTTAGGCATTCCAGTGCAGTAAGTAACAGTTGCTTCTCCTGATGGTTCTTATATTCTTGATTAATCACACGTTGTTCTCCTACAGCACACACCGACTTGCCAAACCTTCCCTTTAATATATATTAATATATCATCCCTCGTGAACACAAGTGATAAATTTAAGTGACTATATTTCACTGAGTACTACAGACTATCCATGACACATTCTACAATATAATTTTTAAACTTACTGTTTGCTATTACAAGTGGTTCATGTAATAAACTCTTAAATTCTGATTTCATTGTCTGTTGGCTGGAACTATATCTAGTACCAGTCAATTCATTTCTTAAATTAAATTTGGAAAAAATACTATTGTCAGTATTTCTTCATATAATAATATACATATTATACCATGTAATGCACACATTATATACACATAATATTATACAAAGAAATACTTGGCAATAGTAATACATACATTATATACATCCTATGCATGTTACATGCATATATATACTACATGAAGAAATACTGGTCACACATATGTATTTTTATATATACTTTCAATTTCTGGAACTCCAGATACATATATATATATATTGTACCATTTGAAATTATGCTATAATTTTTATTTTTACCTTTTTGTTTTTAGATTTGCTCATATCTTTTGATCTATTTTTAAGTTCACTGTTTTTCTAACTCCATTCTATCAAGCCTATTATGAATTTGTTGCTCAACATATTTTTCAATTCTATTTCTTTTTTATAATTTGTGTGTCTCTGCTGATATTTTATATATGCATTTACTATAAGCATATTTTACTTTAAGTCATTGGGCTTAATTATAGTATCTGTTTTAAAATGTGTTTTCCTTGCCGGGCGTGGTGGCTCACGCCTGTAATCCTAGCACTTTGGGAGGCCGAGGCGGGCGGATTGCTCAAGGTCAGGAGTTCGAAACCAGCCTGAGCAAGACCCTGTCTCTACCAAAAATAGAAATAAATTAATTGACCAACTAAAAATATATATACAAAAAATTAGCCGGGCATGGTGGCGCATGCCTGTAGTCCCAGCTACTCGGGAGGCTGAGGCAGTAGGATCACTGAGCCCCGGAGATTGAGGTTGCTGTGAGCCAGGCTGACGCCACGGCACTCACTCTAGCCTGGGCAACAAAGTGAGACTCTGTCTCAAAAAAAAAAAAAAATGTGTTTTCCTAATTTTTCCATTGTATCTCAGATCACCAGATGAGACAGACAGAGAAAGCTACTTAGATGAAATCACAGGGACTCATGTAAAGGAGGGACATTTCAGAAGGAGAATCTAAGAACCAAGAAAACAGAATCAAGAGTCTCTGTGAATTTTTTCCAGGCAATAGAATTGAGCCAATGTATGTTTGGATTTTTCAATTGCTATGGGCCAATGACTCAGCTGTACCTCTTGAATGCTTCTCTTTTTGATTGCTAGAGAGTACAGTGGCTCTCCTATGTCTGTCTCACTATTGTGCGTTGGGTGTGTGTTGGGCATTTAATGTCTTCTGTATGTAGGTTTTCAGATGGAGAAGAACTATATTCAAGGATTATACTTAGGGAATTACACCCAAGGGGGCCCATATAAATTCACACCTGATCAGGTTGGTTAGCAGAGTTGGTCCGGTGGTTGATCCACCTTCCCAGTCATAATGTCATGAGCATTTCAGGGATCTTGAGAGAGGAATGATTGTCTGTGAGAACATGCAAATTGCTGTGAGACGAAAAGTGCCAGAATGTATTTTCCAAACATTATCACAGCAATATGTATGGTTTCACATGAACTTCCAGAATTTTACCCCCTCTATTAAGAGGTAGAGCCCATATTTTTTCTCTTTAAAACTAGGGGTTACTTTGGGACTGCCTTAATGAAGAGAATGTAGCACAAGAAAGACCATGTGATTCCCAAGGCTAAATTATAAAATAAGAAAAAGGTCATGTCTGGTCTCTTTATTTTCAGAACACTTGGCTTTGTAAATAAGCCAACATGTTATGAGGAAGTCTATTCCATATGCAGATATAAAGTTCAGGTGTTTCAACTGATGGTCACAACCTAACATCTTAACCAATGCCATGACCAAGTGCAGGTGAGCCAGCTTTAAGATTTTTCTGGCCCCTAGCCTTAAGCATCCCTTCTTATCCCTAAAAAGATTGCAGATTTGTAAAAAAAAAAAAAATGTCATTATTTAAACCTCTAGATTATAGCTTTATATGTTATTCAGCCATAGTAACTATAAAAATTTACTTTTGATAAGGGGAATAACACAGAAAATACAGGGTAAAAATGACCTTTAGAATATCCAATGTTTTCATTTAACCAGGAAAACTCATATATTATATTTGTAATTAATGTGAAGTAAAAAAGGGGAAATTTAAAAAGAACTATTTTTACATGATATAAAAATATTTATATAGCATTAACTATTAAATCATTGAAGGATTACATTAAAATTATAGAATTTAAAAATATTATTTAAACTATTAAAATTGTCATTCAGTATTTGAGAATGAGATACTGAGTTCAAAAATGTGCATTATGCTATAAGTTCTGTGTCCTGCTCTGAGTACAGGTAACCTGATATTAGAAAAGTCAATTATTTTCTTTATTACTACTTTCCTTTTCTATAAATAGAATATCCTTTTATTCCATTACTTATAATACGTGATAAAATAAAGACCTACACATAGTCAATTAACCAGATGCACCCCTTCAGTCTGGCATAACACATATGATTAATAAAAAAATCATTGAGACTAAAGTGCAAGTACATATGGATATATTTTCTTTTCTTCTCAAAGTTCTCTATTATATAAAGACAAAGTTAAGGTTATATTCTAGCTTTCAAAGGTATATTCATTGTAAATTTTAACTATGGGAACATTTATATTATTCACTTACCTATTTCACTATTTAGAGATAGCCTGAAACAAAAAAAAAGACAAAAGTTCCATATTTATTAAAATATACTACCTTACATAACATTATTTAGGTCCTTCTGTTGCCCTTTATGAGGAACTATGCTAATTAAATATTATTTTAAATTATATATAAATGAAGATTAAATATTTTCCAAGAAGTGTTAAAAAAAAAGCTACATCTTGCTCTTTGCTGTTCCTTTCATACCCTAAATTTATAGCTAATTTTCACAAGTTATAAAGTTCTATATTGCACATCCCCCCACCCAAGACACCTCCCAGCTTTTAAAGGAGCTTAACAATTTATTATAGCAATTTAGCAAAAGTACTGCTGCTTCCTGTCAGAATTTACTGGCATCTTTGCTCACAAACTGGACATAAAATATGTCAATGTGACCCCTATCTGTATCCTTGATGCATGACATTGATTACACATTTCCTTTCCTCTCATTTTATGTGTATGTTGGGTAGATCAGATAAACCTGGAACACCTCTAAATTTCTCTAATAAAATTCTTGTATTTGCAGATTCCTATTAGAGCAATAAAAGTGAGAAAGAAAATAGAGAAACTTAATGGAGACAATTTATATAGCCTGGTAATAGACAACAAAAAATGACCTAATTCAATGAACACATCTGACTTCAAACCAAAAATTTGGCTTCATAGTAAAAATTCACAACAGAAATTATGAGATGGCTTCCTCCATGAAAAGTGATATGTGTATAATCATTCTTTAGTCAATTTCATATTCTCTAGTTAAATTCTCTAGAAATGACAGTGCTTTTTCTTTATCCTTTGTCACCTCTTTTTCACATGCAAAAATGTGAACCCTATTGGCAAATAATATCTAAGATGACAAACATCTTATTAGCTTGTTCATAATACTATAAATGAAAACTGTTTTCCAAATAATATTATCAACTGTGTCTAATGCCACTGTATCATCATTTGAGTGATCCTATAAAATTTAGAAGGCCCAGCAGGATGCCTTTGCATTTGCTTCTCTGTCTGATAGTCCCCTGAGATATTAACATCAGTGGTCTTTTACTATTGACATGTCAAAGAAACTAATATATCAGAAACTTTATGCTCTCTGTACAGTATTGTGGCAGACAAAATTTGATATAATGAAAAGCAGTTTTTAAAATAATGAGGAAGATATTTTAACCATTTATTCTTTCAGTAGAAAGCAAACATTTTTACAGTCAATTCAATTGGTTTATCTGAAAATTTTTAAATGAACTTTGGTAGAGTGTTTTATTTTTAAAATTATTTAATATTCAATTTCATTGGCATAGTATAATGTCAGAGGCAAAAAGCATAAACTAATACAGAGAAAATTTAATTACAAACATAAGAATGCTAGCTAGCCTGAGGGAACCATTTACATAACAGAAACATAAATATACACATGCATACAACCATATATATATATTATGAATATTTGTATTATTTGACAAGCAATTTGGTGTAACACAAAGGTATTCTAAAAGTAGTTGTTAATATAGATAAAAAAGGTTATCATTGAAGCAGATTAATAAAATTGAGGACATGAAGAATAGAAAGAAAATCAAAAAAATAAATTTGTATTTTCATTGTTCCTTGAATAAAAGGAGCAGATATTTAAATCTCATGTGTTTTATTTTAAAATTTAAGACATGCTTACTGTTTCCCACATTAAAATTTATACCATTACACTAGTAAAGCTAATTTAATCAAGTGACAACAAAATCAAAACAAAAAGGATTCTCTAAAGCAATCTATTTCCTTGAATAAAAGATATTATTTTTAAAAATCTAAATATATATTCAAATAAAGAAAAAATATTACTAGTATTATTATTATTATTTTTGAGACAGAGTCTCACTCTGTTGCCTGGGCTAGAGTGCCATGGCATCAGCCTAGCTCACAGCAACCTTAAATTCCTGGGCTCAAGCAATCCTTCTGCTTCAGCCTCCTGAGTAGCTGGGACTACAGGCATGTG